TTATGTTTCTTAAAAGCAAAAGAGACATGATCATACTTTCTTAAACCAAAGATCAGCCGGACACCGGAACTCTGGAGCTTCTGAATTTTCTGCTGATAACGGGAGTCGATAAATGAACCATAAATGTTATCACAATAATTAAAATGTGATAAGACGAGAGAGTCACACAAGAATTTTTTAACAGAATTATCAAGACAATGTCGATTACTGAAAATCAACCTCAGAGAGCCATAAGCTCCCTAAAGTTTAGTGACTCATCAATAACCAAGCCAAGGTTTCTAACAGACCCACTCAGAGGAAGAGGCACATTTCCCAGCGAACTGTTATAGAATCTGTCCATAAAGATTTTTTTCAATTTAGTAGGACCAAATAAGATCATTTGAGTTTTCTTTTCATTAATTTTTAGACAGTATTCCTGTGCCGCACTGACAATACTAAACAGATCACGCTTGAACTCATTAAGCCCATCTTCAAAATGGCCTTCAGGGAAGGACAGGTAAATCTGAGTGTCATCAGCACAATAAAGAATTTTACAAAAATCAACAAAACTGTTAAAATTTATAGCATAAATCTTAAACAGGGCGGGCCTCAATACCGAACCCTGCGGCACCCCAGACTCGATCTCCAAAAGTCCCGAGACGTTACCGTCAACACTGACAGATTGAATACTACGTTTAAGGTAATTGAAGAAAAAATTCAGCGCAACAGGGTTAACACCAATATGTTTAAGAATGGACAGTAATAAATTCCAGCAATCCTAACAGGGTCAATTTATTGGAGTCAGTAGCTATGACAATGTCATCAACTATATTATTCACAGCAGCTCACATCCATGTCACTCCTTGAAGCCAGATTGGTTCACCGGAATTATGCGCTCGGAGTCTAGGAAGTCTATCAGCTGGCTGTTAACAATCTTTTCCAAGACCTCGGACAAGGAACACAATATACTTATGAGCCTCAAGGAAGAATAATCAATGGGATTAGACACTTTAGGTACCGGAATGACAATCGACTTTTTCCATAGTGAAGGAAAAACACCCTCCAGTAGACAGGTATTAATTATTTTTACTATATGAGATAAAATTACAGAACAAGCCATTTTAATGAAATGATTTAAAAAATGAATTCCAATACCATCCGCATTTGCCCAACAGCATTCGACCTTACGCTCTGTAATACATACATGATAGAACTTTTCGAAATGAGGCTAAATCTAAAGATATTAGGGCCAAACTTAGAGTTATTCAAAACGTTTATCAGATAATCAACTCAATCACCAAAGCATTGAGACTTCAAAAAATGGTCGTTTAATTCAGAACTATTTCTTAAGTTATTTGGCAAGGAATGATCCTGAAATTTATTTCAACGAAGCACTTTCCAAAATTTGAATTTTGGATTTCCTAAGTCATATAGGCACGCTTCTCATTTTTAGTGGAATTATTCACAAGATTCCTATATTTAGAAAGGGCTTTATTTCTTAAGTCCCGTATAAGCCGAACACTATCAGTACCCCATGGGCAAGGGACGTGGTCACCAGAAACTTTCACCAGCGTGGCAAATCTACAATAGCCAAAGTTAACAAGCAATTAAATAAATCTACTTTTTCATCAATATCACGTAAATAAAATATTTGTCAAGAGGGAGAGACCACAAGAAGGCCAAAAAAAAAGGGACAGGTTAAAATATTTCAGAGATCTAATATAACTGAAGGAGGCTGTTAGTTCTAGTGATAATGCTAATTGTTCCTAAAAATAGAAACATTCAGGTTTAGCCCTGCGTCTCTTAAGATGGCTAAACTTCTAGGTCTAGTATTAGTTGTAGTTCAACGTTAGTTTGTTGTACAGGTGTCCCGCTAAGGCTACGGAGCAGTTGTATCTCAACAACGGTAAGGCGTGAGGTTTGGGAAAAAATCCTTATAAGCAAAGTGGGCAAGAGAAATAGCAGGAAATTATTCTGAAGTTTCCGCTAGGGGGCCTAACTGCCATAGAGAAACATAATATTCCCGCTATCTCAGAATGTCAGACGATGAGCTATAACTTTGACATCATTTAGTAGCTTGGATAATACCGCATCGCTTTTGTTTTGCGATATTTTTCATATCTGTCATAATAAGGGAGGGGGAGGCCAATGCGTTTTCAAATGTTTACACTTTAATATCTTCTGGACCATAATCTACTAAACTTCACAATAATCTTCATTTCTAACAGGAAATTTAACATCAACCCAAGAACTTCAAAAAATCTAATCTCATCCATAAAACATCGTGTAATCATTATTTTTTTGTTTACAAGTTTTACTGCAACTTCAAAAAATGTAGAATAACTTGGCGTTGAATAAGAACTAAAAGTAGAACTAACGCTAGATCTGGCTTTCTACATAGTACATAGTTCTACATAGTAACAGTGCTAATGTAAAACTAGAAGTAACACTATACCTAGAACTGGAATCATTTGGGTTTAGCCACACGTCTCTAAAGACCCCTAAACCCAAATGATTCTAGTTCTAGGTATAGTGTTAGTTTTAGTTTTATACTTGCGCTGTCACTAGAGCTAACATAAGACCTAGAACTAGAAACATTTGGGTTTAGCCGTCTTTAGAGACCAGCCGCACGTCTTTAAAGATGGCTAAACCCGAATGATGCTAGTGCTAGGTCTAATGTTAGTGCTAGTTTTACGCTAGCATTATCACTAGAATTAATACAAGACCTAGAACTAGAATCATTTGGGTTTAGCCGTACGTCTCTTAAGACGGCTAAATCCGAATGATTCTAGTTCTTGATGTAGCGCTACATAACAATTTAACCAGAACTAACACTAGACATAGAACTAGAAAGTTTCGGGTTTAGCCGTGTGTCCTCAGACTCAATTTTTCTAACTTTGCTATTTCTTTCTCCAGATTCATCATTCGAATATTATATGTGGAAGAGAAGGAAAACAAAAACTCCAGTTTTTAGCCGTTTTTTCAATTTATATACAGGTGTCCCGTTAAGCGTACGGAGCGGCTGTATCTCAATAACGGTAAGGACTAGAGGTTTGGGAAAAAAATCCTTATAAGCAAAGTGGGCAAGAGAAATAGCTGGAAATTATCTTAAAGTTCGTAATTCGACCGCTAGGGGGCGTAACTGCCATAGAGAAACATAAAATTCCCGCTATCTCAGAAAGTTAGAGGATGAGCTATAACTTTGACAACATCATTTAGTAGCTTGGATAATACCGCATCGCTTTTGTTTTGCAATATTTTTCATATCTGTCATAATAAGGGAGGGGGAGGCCAATGCGTTTTCAAATGTTTACATTTTAATATCTCCTGGACCATTCAACCGATTTGATTATTTTTGGTCTTGTTTGAAAGAGCATTTTATGCTCTTTTTATAGTGACTAAGGGTCTGTGAAGTAAATAGTACTGTAGTGGAATAAATAAAATTAGAATTAGAAATTAATGTAAATTATAAACAATAGCATAAGTAGCATTATGATTGCTTAATTGATGAGCATGCACAGTGAACCGTTTGAATAATGTAATAATTAATATTGCAAGTAGTATAATTTTACCTATCAATAAGTTGTTAAGCGAATCACTTTATGGTTTTAATGAAACACAATTAGTACCCTATATGAAACCCCAAAAGGAACCAAGTAGGGTAAAACGCCAGTAATTGACCGTTGGTCAGTGTTTGACCGTTTTTGTAAAAAAATGTGAAAAATAAGGATACAAGGAATATCTAAAAAAACATAAATATATCCATAAATAGCCACCAGTCTCCTCTCCACCCCCTAGTACACAAAAAGTCTATGACCATACTGTTCTTGTGTTTTTGTTGTTTAATTTCGCGCTAACTGCCGGCCTATTCGCATCATGCTAAACAGCGTAATTTTTATGTTTAGAAATTCGCCCAAACAGGGTAGTACTATTCAGCCGTTTTTGCATGTATGATGTTTTTTTTTTGTTTGTCAGTGATTTAATAATGTTTTCTATTGTTTATATTAAAAAAATACCGCTTTATTTAATTATTTGTTGAAAAAAAACAATTTCGAGCTATTTCTGTTGCCCACTTTACCCATAAGGATTTCTTCTCAGGAAGTACCTCTAGGAATTACCGTTGTCGAGATACAACCGCTCCGTACCCTTAACGGGACACCTGTATACTTACATTGAACTAAAACTAGAACTAACACTAGACCTAGAACTAGAAAGTTTCGGGTTCAGCCGTGCGTCTTCAGAGGCACGGTTGAACCCGAAACTTTGTAGTTCTAGGTCTAGTGTTAGTTCTAGTTTTAATTGTTATACAGCGCTGGGTTGTTGTATACTTTTATTGAACTAAAAGTAGAAGTAATACTAGACCTAGAACTAGAATAATTCGGGTTTAAGAGGCTAAACCTGAATATTTCGAGTTCTAGGTCTAGTATTAGTTGTAGTGCAGTATTAGATGTTATTCACCATTAGATTGTTGTATACTTGTATTGAACTAAAACTAGATTTCGACTTGATTATTTCCACTTTCATATTGGCCAAGGATTAATCTTTCGAAATTTCGAAATCGCTTGAGAGGTTCTCTTGTTATAATCAAAACATTCTAATTGAAGGCTAATTTTGCTTAGTTATGGTTGCTTTTTTCCAATTTTTTTTTACTAATTTTATTTTTTGTTTAGTTACTAATAAAAATGTGCTCTGTGCTTAGTTTTCCTTCTTAACGGACGGTATACGTATGTACAATTTTATTACAAAATAAGCATAGACATTAAAATACGTCGAGATTTCTTTTTTACGTTTATGTTATTTTTATTTTTATACAGGGTAAAAAATAAAAGAATTAAAAAGAATGTTTTCATTTAAAAATATCCGCTTAATTTTTTTTCGACCCTGTTAGAATTAATTTAAAAATAATTGAATAAGAACAATTCCTCTCGTTAGAATATCCATCGTTTAAGTTAAATTTTAATTAAAACTATTGTTATCGATGTAAAAAGAATTTTCTTTCATTTAATTGTTTTTTGGTTGTTTTAATTTTTAAATTATTGGCACTAATTTTTTTATTTATTATTTTTTTTAGGGTACCATTTATGAAATGTTTCGAATGATGATTTTTTTTTCTCGGATATGTATGCGGTACGTTGCGCGATTTTTCCTTCGAAAAAAATTTGAAAAAAAAAAAGAAATTAATTTCCTTTCTATTTGAGCCGTTGCGTTACGTTTGCTAAGGCTACAGCGAATGCTTGGAGTGCTGAAAACGGATACTGAAAGTCCAAAGTGTACGCATTTCCATCAATACGACCAAATTGCATCACCTAAATAATGAAAAAAAAAAAAAAATTAAAAATAATCTCAAATTAATACAAAAAGAATTAACCTGTTTTCCTCTAAATTCGATTTGAAAATTTTTAGCTGATTCTTGAGTCACTCTTCCTCCAAAATCAAGTTGGTAAACTTGGCTACTTTCATTCCACATCGGAGCTTTATTGTGCATAACAAATTCTCGTCTTAGAGGAATCAGATAAGTATTTACATTCGTTCCATTTGGTTCTATTTTAACTCTTTTTAGCTAAAAATTATTTAGAAATGTTAAAAAAAGATCCATTTGATACGGTTTAAATATTTAAAATGAGTCAGAAATAACCAAAATAACTTGGTTTCGAGGCGCTACAATCTAAATTGTTAAATATTGTTTGATGATTTTCATTCCATTTTATGTCTAATAAATAAAATTCGTTTTTGCACTTAAATGGATTTTTATTTTATTTTTTTCTCAACTGGTTTCGCTATACATTTACAGCATCTTCAGGAGATTACGTCATTTTGTTACAACCGTGTCCTATAAAATGAGTCATTTGGTATTTCTTTTTATATTTGTATTATTGAACCACACAGAGAACTTTGTTGAACTATGATTGAAGAGGATTAAAAATTGTGTTAAGAATTGATGTGTCATGCGAGCATATGCGAGTTGTTGTCAAAGCTGATTTTGTTGTCAAATCATAGTTCAACAAAGTTCTCTGTGTGGTTCAATAATACAAATATAAAAAGAAATACCAAATGACTCATTTTATAGGACACGTTTGTAACAAAATGACGTAATCTCCTGAAGATGCTGTAAATGTATAGCGAAACCGGTTGAGAAAAAAATAAAATAAAAATCCATTTAAGTGCAAAAACGAATTTTATTTATTAAATTGTTAAAGACACAATAATATAGACAACACAACTAACTCCAGTAAAGAGATAGTAGCAGAGGTGCTATAATCTAGTTCCTTAGAGAGAAAGCAACAGTTCTACGTTTAGCCGTGTGTCTCTTAAGACGGCTAAACCTGAATGTTTCTAATTCTAGATTTAATATTAGTTCTAGTGACAGCACTAGTACAAAACTAGAACTAACACTAGAACTAGATATATTAAGGTTTAGCCGCACGTTTCCCAATACGGGTAAACCCGAATGATTCTAGTTCTAGGTCTAGTGTTAGTTCTAGTGACAATGCTAATGCAAAACTAGAACTAACACTAGACCTAGAACTAGAATTATTCGGCTTTAGCCGCACGTCTTTCAAGACGGCTAAACCCGATTGATTCTAGTTCTAGGTCTTGTGTTAGTTCTAGTGGTTGCTGCAAAACTAGAACTAACACTAGACCTAGAACTAGAAACATTCGGGTTTAGCCGCACATTTCTCAAGACGGCTAAACTCGAATGACTCTAGTTCTAGGTATTGTGTTAGTTTTAATGACAGTGTTAGTGGAAAACTAGAATTAACACTAAACTTAGAACTAGAATCATTCGGATTTAGCCGTCTTAAGAGACGTACGGCTAATCCCGAATGTTTCTAGTTCTAGGTCAAGTGTTAGTTGAAGTGACAATGTTAGCCCTAGTTTTAGATGTTACTCGGCGTTAGATTGTTGTAAACTTGTATTGAAATAAAAGTAGAACCAACACTAGACCGAGAACTAGAATCATTCGGGTTTAGCCGCACGTCTCTCAAGACGGCTAAACCCGATTGATTCTAGTTCTAGGTCTTGTGTTAGTTCTAGTGGTTGGTGCAAAACTGGAACTAACACTAGACCTAGAACTAGTATCATTCGGGTTTAGCCGTCTTGAGAGACGTGCGGCTAAACCCGAATGATTCTAGTTCTAGGTCTAGTGTTAGTTCTAGTGACAATGCTAATGCAAACCTAGAACTAACACTAGAACCGAACGTCTTGTGCTAGTTCTAGTGGTTGGTGCAATACTAGGACTACCACAATACCTAGAACTAGAAAAATTCGTGATTAGCCGCACGTCTCTCAAGACGGCTAAACCCGAATGATTCTAGTTCTAGGTACTGTGTTAGTTTTAATGACAGTGTTAGTGCAAAACTAGAACTAGCACTAAACTTAGAACTAGAACCATTCGGATTTAGCCGTCTTTAGAGACGTACGGCTAATCCCGAATGTTTTTAGTTCTAGGTCAAGTGTTAGTTGAAGTGACAGTGTTAGCTCTAGTTTTAGATGTTTCCCGGCGTTAGATTGTTGTAAACTTGTATTGAAATAAAAGTAGAACCAACACTAGACCGAGAACTAGAATCATTCGGGTTTAGCCGCACGTCTCTCAAGACGGCTAAACCCGATTGATTCTAGTTCTAGATCTTGTGTTAGTTCTAGTGGTTGGTGCAGAACTAGAACTAACACTAGACCTAGAACTAGTATCATTCGGGTTTAGCCGTCTTGAGAGACGTGCGGCTAAACCCGAATGATTCTAGTTCTAGGTCTTGTGTTAGTTCTAGTGGTTGGTGCAATACTAGGACTAACACAATACCTAGAACTAGAAAAATTCGTGATTAGCCGCACGTCTCTCAAGACGGCTAAACCCGAATAATTCTAGTTCTAGGTATTGTGTTAGTTTTAATGACAGTGTTAGTGCAAAACTAGAATTAACACTAAACTTAGAACTAGAATCATTCGGATTTAGCCGTCTTAAGAGACGTACGGCTAATCCCGAATGTTTCTAGTTCTAGGTCAAGTGTTAGTTGAAGTGACAGTGTTAGCCCTAGTTTTAGATGTTTCCCGGCGTTAGATTGTTGTAAACTTGTATTGAAATAAAAATAGAACCAACATTAGACCTAGAACTAGAAACATTCGGGTTAAGAAAGGAAAAGAGCTTTTCAAGTTCGGTTTTGTTCATGAAAAACTACGTAATTTCCTCTATAATCTCATCAAGATGTCGTACGAATTCTATTTCAGACGATTTTTTAAAAATTATGAAATATAATTGATAACTTTATTAAGTTCTAAAAATTGAGGTTGATTCAAAAATTATTTTCTCAAAAACGAATAAAGATTTTGAAATGCGGTTTTGTTCATGAAAAAATACCTAATTTTCTCTATAAATCGAGGTCATTTCATCAAGAATGCGATTTTTCAAAAACTGTGAATTAAAATTGTTGTAAAATATGATGTAGGTAAAAGTACAAACTTTTTGAGAAATATTAAAATGTTTAATTCAATTCAAGCAGACATGTTTCGAAACTAACGTTTCATCTTCAGTACTTAGAATATTATACAATAATGGAAATAATATTATGTTAGTAAGTGGGGTTCAGGAATAGATCTAAATCTCTATTCCTCTCTAGGTAACATATGAAATGTTACCTTCCAAGATTTTATCTATATTATTGAAGTTTTTTAATTTTTGATTCTGTTAAATTTAATTTTTATTTGTAAATTAAGTTAAAAGAGATTTAGATCTATTCCTGAACCCCACCTACTAACATAACATTATTTGTCCTTATAATATATACCTTATGAATGAGTTTTCTAAAACAAAATGGTAGTCATTTTTCACGGAGTGAATAATAGCGGTGAATAATAATCATTATTCACGGGTAGCCATCTTGACCAGACTAATAATAATTATTTAAAACGTTAAAAGTCCAAAAAATGTCAATTTAATTCAATTATTTAGGAGTTTCTAAATGTTTGATATTAAAAAAACCCAAACAAATTAATTTTTTCGTATGATTTAAACATAAATTAATTAATTTTCGTAAACAAAACGACGTTTTATAAAACTGACATTTAATTTTGACAAATTGTTGTGAAGTTGGTTACAGTTAGTAACATGGAATTTATGTCACATTGACGTTTAACCTTTATTCAAAAATTTATTTAAAAAATAAATTTATGGAATCAGTTTCAATAGTCGTGGACAAAGTATAGTATTCTACTCGCATATAATGAGCTATTATTCACTCAGCCTAATTATGCATAAATTATAGACCTATATATTAATAATTATAGACCTATATCGGTAATCTCCTGTTTTGCCAAACTTTTCGAACAATTGATTTATCGCAGGATTTTCAATCAAGTAAAACTTTCGTTGAATGTTAATCAGCATGGATTTATTCCTGGTCGCTCTGTGGAGACCAACTTAACTATCTTTACGGATTACGTTTCCAAAGCATTGGATGCTAGAGCTCAAGTGGATTTTGCAAAAGCATTCGATAGGGTGGATCATGATACGCTTCTGCACAAGCTGGCACAACACGGGTTTTCTTATTCTACTCTTCGTTTTTTTGTTTCATATTTGTCCAACAGAGTTTATTACGTCTCTTATAAAAACGCAGTATCAGATATGTTGGGGATTGATTCAGGGGTTCCGCAGGGTAGTAATCTGGGACCTTTGTTATTTTTGTTATTTATAAATGATTTGCCCCTGGTAATTAACTCAACCAGATGCTTACTCTTTGCGGACGATCTGAAGATATTCACAACTGTACACGACTTAACTGACTGCCGGTCCTTACAGTCTGATTTAGATAACGTATTTAATTGGTGTCGGCTCAACAAGCTCCATTTTAATGTGTCTAAATGTGAGTCAATGACGTATACATTGAGGAAGAGGCCGATAGAATTTGTATATAAAATAAATAATGTGAATTTGAGGTGTGTTGTTAAAAAGAGAGACTTGGGTGTGTTGTTTTCGCCTGGTTTATGCTTTGCTGAACATATTAAAGCCACAGCAACCACAGCTTTGCGTCTCTTAGGATTTGTCATTAGAAATGGGTACAGTTTCTCAAACTTACAGACGCTGCAATTACTGTTCAATTCTTTAGTGCGATCTAAGCTGGAATATGCGGTAATAGTATAGGATCCCAGGTCAATTCTTTATTCTAATTTAATAGAAACTATTCAAAATAAATTCATTGGGTATCTCTACTACAAAAAATTCCGTGTTTTCATTGGTTTTAGATCGTACGAATTTGCACGCAAATTATTTAAGATCACCAGGTTGTCTCTCAGAAGAAAAATTATATCACTCTGTTTTCTGTATAAAATGTTGAATAATAGTATAAATGCTCCATTAATATTAGAAAATATTGGTTTCTATGCGCCTGCATATTGTGGTAGGCTAAAGAATCTTTTCTATATTCCTCGGTTTTCCACTGAACTGAGACGAAATTCTCCTCTTATTAGAATCCTTTCACTGTACAACACACTGTCGGCTTCTTCCTTCATACCTCTGTTTGGCATTGGTATTAGATCGTTTAAACAACATTTGACACCTTTGATAAGTACTGCAGCCAACCAGTAGCCAAACTTGATTTTTGTCATTGAATTCTGTAATTTGTGATGTAATTCTATTCATTTTTTAAAGTTTTGGTTCAATATATCCTCCGCGCGTTCTGTGATGGGTTAATTATCATTTATGCTTGATCTTGGTTGTTTTGTTATTTTTGTTGGTTATATTATGTACTAGTAGACTTAAGTTCTGAAATTTGTAATTAGGGGCAACCCTGTAATTTCAGAAGTAAAATAAATAAATAAATAAACTTAACCCTCGTGAATAATAGCCCTCATTATATGCTCATATAATAATATACTATTTTGTAATTCGCTACGGTAATGGAAGCTGTAACAGTACTCAAACGGGTGCTGTAATGAGACTCTTTACAGCATCTGATGCTGTAATGAGATTTTAGTAACATTTTATGGAACCAGTTCAAGTTGGTGACATTGGGTCATTAATTGTTCTAGTTGTCAATGTGACAATTTTTGTCTATGGATGTTTAAACACGTTCTTAGCATCAAATACAAGGTCCACAATGATGAGGACATTGACTGTAACAATTTCTCTTATTGTGGGAGGTGTACATCAAACATTTTTTTCAGGTGAATATATTTTGTGTTTTGACAGTTTCTAATTGTCAATTCAAAGTTTCTATTTTCAAGTGTTCCGGTGTTACCAACTGCTACATACCTATTTCCCTACATTGCCAAAATTTACTTTATTTTTGTTAAAAAAAAGTATAAAAACGCGAATTACAAAAAATAGCATAAAAAACACGTTTCATAAGACTTAAAGCACTCATTCATTAAAAAACTCGTGGCTTCGCCACTCGTTTTTCAACTTGAATTCGTGCATTTCAAGCGTGTCTTACGAAACTTGTTTTTTAATATACTATTATCTACTACTGCTTGGATAAGTCATCATTACCGCACTCATTTGAGGTGATTTGAGTTACGTAATAAAGTTCATTACCGCACTGGTTTCATTACGTAATGCATTTTTAGCCTAATCAGAACAGACTTAATTTATTGAAACGAGCAACAATACAAAAGAAAAAGTGCTGAAGAACTCGTGTGATTACACGACTCGGTCTACGACCTCGTCGTGCAATTCTCCACACTCGTACTGTAATTATGTTTCTAGCCCACTTGTAATATAAATAACTATTCCATTATTGTATAATATTCTAAGTACTGATTCGAAACATGTCTGCTTGAATTGAATTAAACATTTTAATATTTCTCAAAAAGTTTTTACTTTTACCTACATCATATTTTACAACAATTTTAATTCACAGTTTTTGAAAAATCGCATTCTTAATGAAATGACCTCGATTTATAGAGAAAATTAGGTACTTTTTCATGAACAAAACCGCATTTCAAAATCTTTATTCGTCTTTGAGAAAATAATTTTTGAATCAACCTCAATTTTTAGAACTTAATAAAGTTATCAATTTTATTTCATAATTTTTAAAAAATCGTCTGAAATAGAATTCGTACGACATCTTGATGAGATTATAGAGGAAATTACGTAGTTTTTTGTGTAAGCCAAACTTGAAAAGCGCTTTTCCTTTCTTAACCCTAATGTTTCTAGTTCTAGGTCTAATGTTGGTTCTACTTTTATTTCAATACAAGTTTACAACAATCTAACGCCGAGTAACATCTAAAACTAGGGCTAACACTGTCACTTCAACTAACACTTGACCTAGAACTAGAAACATTCGGGATTAGCCGTACATCTCTAAAGACGGCTAAATCAGAATGATTCTAGTTCTAAGTTTAGTGTTAGTTCTAGTTTTGCACTAACACTGTCATTAAAACTAACACAATACCTAGAACTAGAATTATTTGGGTTTAGCCGTCTTGAGAGACGTGTGGCTAAACCCGAATGTTTCTAGTTCTAAGTATAGTGTTAGTTCTAGTTTTGCACTAGCACTGTCACTAAGACCTAGAACTGAAATCATTGGGGTTTAGCCGTCTTGAGAGACGTGTGGCTAAACACGAATTTTTCTAGTTATAAATCTAGTGTTAGTCCTAGTATTGCACCAACGACTAGAACTAACACAAGACCTAGAATCATTCGGGTTTAGCCGTCTTGAGAGACGTGCGGCTAAACCCAAATGCTTCTAGTTCTAGGTCTAGTGTTAGTTCTAGTTTTGCATTAGCATTGTCACTAGAACTAACACTAGACCTAGAACTAGAATCAATCGGGTTTAGCCGTCTTGAGAGACGTGCGGCTAAACCCGAATGTTTCTAGTTCTAGGTCTAGTGTTAGTTCTAATTTTGCATTAGCATTGTCACTAGAACTAACACTAGACCTAGAACTAGAATCAATCGGGTTTAGCCGTCTTGAGAGACATGCGGCTAAACCCGAATGTTTCTAGTTCTAGGTTTAGTGTTAGTTATAATTTTGCATTAGCATTGTTACTAGAACTAACAATAGACCTATAAATAGAATCATTCGGGTTTAGCCGTCTTCAGAGACATGCGGCTAAACCTGAGTGTATCTAGTTCTAGTGTTAGTTCTAGTTTTGTACTAGTGCTGTCACTAGAACTAATACTAAATTTAGAATTAGAATCATTCGGGTTTAGCCGTCTTGAAAGACATGCGGCTAAACCTGAATGTATCTAGTTTTAGTGTTTATATTAGAGTGTTATTTTATTATATTAGAGAAATATGGAGAATTTCATCTCATTTATAAAATTGTTATGATAAATACTCTGGTTTACTTCAAAAATTATTATCGCGGAAACGAATAGAGCTCTTCAAGTTCAATTTTGTTCATGAAAAAGTACGTAATTTCCTTTATAAGCTATCAACATTGCATCAAGATATTTTTAGAAAGATGAAAACGAAAATCTCGTTTTTCTCAACATTGTTCATTTATCGCTTACTCAAGTGATGCATAACGCGGTCCAATTAATAGTATAACAAGAAACGTTCATTCATCATTTTTCAATTTACCTTTTAAACTTACCTTTTGTCGTAATTGTGCTTTCTGAAACGTTTCCAAATCAGTATAATTAACCCCATTAAAAACTTCATCGCCGGACGCGTTAACTTCATCATCCGAACTCTCTAAAAGTTTCGATTTTCGATGTTTCTTACTTAACAAAGGCGAAGAAAGTATATTTTTACGAACGGGCGAAGCCGATTGTGGACGTTTTCCCTTTTTGCTTGGTGCGGGCGAAGAAGGCGAGCTTCTCGGTAATCTCGGACTTTGTACGTTCGTTTTTTTATTATCATCTTCACGTAAGCGATTCAACAGACTCTCTAAAGTGGCTAACGCGTGAGTGTGAAGCGAAGTCGATTTATTTTCATTTTCGTTTTGCGACTTTTTAGTTTTACTTCTACTCCGTTTGTTTTCCTCGTTTAATTCGTGATTTTTTTTTCGCCGAGATAACGGCGATTTTGAACCAAAAAAACTTAGCTTCGAGTTACCTTCTTTTTTAATGTTGTTTATGTTGTTGTTTAGGTTATTGTTGTTGTTGTTGTTGTGGTTATTTAATTTGTTCGTGTTGTTGTTTCCTGTTGTTGTGGTTGCCGTTGATGTTGGTGATGTTTCGGTTGATGTGTTCGGTTTTATTTCGGGGACTACTTCGAGGTGGTTCACTTCTTTTTGTAAATTTCCTATGCTTTCTAGTGAGTTGCAAAGTAAATCGCTTGAATCTAAGCTTTTTGATTTGCCGCAATTTTTTAATTTCTTTTGGTTTTCTTGGGGTTGCTCGGGTGTGGCGGGTTTTTTATGATTCTTTTTGTGCTTGTGTTTTCTGTTAACTAAAACTAATCTTTTTGGGGCTTCTTTTCGTAACATTTGGAGTGCTAAATCGCTTGGGACTAACCCATCGACCATGGAGTCTAAATAACCCACACTGCAACTTCGTATCATTGAATCTGCTGGGATCAAGTTATGAAACATTGAGTTATCGTTTGAAGGACCCGGTTGGGATTCTTTTATTTTTATGTCTTTCTTTGGTTCTTCTTGATTCTTTTTTAGATTTAAAGAGAGTGGGATGTTTTTGTATTTTATATCTTGAACGATTTGGGGTGATGGTCTATCAAAAATAATATCACCCGGGGCTACAGCATTCTTTGGGGATTGCAATGAAGGCACGGAACCTTCACAACAAAGTGGCGAAACAGCGTGGCGAGAGTTACCACTTCTAAAAGATCTCTCCGAATCATCTTCATAACTTTCTGGTTTCGCTAAAGATGGGGTGCATCTTGGAATGTCAATGCTTAAATAGTTGTTTGATAATTTTTGTCTTAAGACGCGATTTCCCCTCGGCGACATTGGGGCTATCGGTGGACAATTTTCTAAAGAAACTTTTTGTAAACTACTTTTATTTTTTGGGTCAGAATCTTCTTCGTCTTCCGAAAACAAATTTGGATTGAAATTTGGATCGGGAACTATTGGGTAATCATCGCGTAATTCCGTTATAACCAAGGTCATTTGCCTCGGTTGTAAATGAAGAAGAGATGTTTTATAAGTAACTTGTCCAAGATTTGCTGGAACCGAATCCACCAAACCATGAATTTTAAATTTCGTCCCCCAAATGTTTGAGGTAACCTCAACCAAGCGGACATGTTCCGGTAAAGTATCGACGTAAGATAAATCTTCAGGTTCAGCATCTCCAGAACTTGGCCCAGAATTTTTTTCCGGATTTCCAAACCTAGTATAAGATTTATTCCTTTTCTTCTTCCTTCTTTGCATCCTAGGCGACCCAGTACACCCATCATCCATTTCAGAATCAGAAGAATCACTGGCCAAGTTTCCACCACTCGTCGAGTAACTTGAAGACCCAGAACTCTTTGACTCCGGCGACCACTGAAGTTGAAATCCATAATCTTCCCCTTGAGGATCAAAAATCACAAATTCAGGCCGGATTTTACTCGTTCTTTTTCCCTTCAACAAAGGAACCAGTCCGCCTAAATACTCCAAATACAAAGTGTAACAAGTCCCAGAAGAAACGTGGTTGTTGTCTTCATCATGCCTAATCATTGTGCAATGTAATCGAACTGAACCCAAAGGTGGTTTTGAAACGAAATCTCTTAATGCTGAAATTTCCGGGACGAAACACTAAAAAAATGAAAACATTTATTTAAAAAATCGATAATTAATGGATTCTTACTCGAATTGTTTGAGCGAAAAGATTTCCAATTAAATTTCTTATCCTTGCCGGAAGTGGAAGCAAACTTAATTGGGTTTCTTGTTGGATAGAGTTGTATATTTTTAACCTACACATTAATTGTAATGAAGCTATTCTTCTGGATACCCAGGCTATGTGGATGTGAGTTCCGGTTGCTAAAAATAGTCTTTTATCATTGTGGCCCCAAGTTAAAGCTGTTATTGGAGCCTAAAATAATAATAAAAGAAAATTAAAATATGGCAAAAATGAATCAAATAATAAAAAAAAATATAGTTCTTTCTGCACTCTAGTTAACTTTTCTGCTTTCGTTTAAAACCTAAGCCAGAAAGGAAAAAAATGGAATCTCTAATAACTTAACTCAGAAAGAAATTAATAAAGAAATGAAATACATAGAATGGAGAGACATAATTAATCAAAAAAGATGAATTATAATTCATAAACAAACCTGGTTATAAGGCAAAACTGTTGAATAAATTAAAGTTCCTTTTTCATTATAAAACTTTAAAATATTTATGTACACATTTTCCGGGCTGGCGTTATCAATCCCTCCTATAGCAAGTAGCTCCCTCGAATTGCTCCATTCCATACAAACAGGAGATTGTAGACCGGTTGTTATCTGTATCGGGGAAACATCATCGAAAGTTTTCAACAAATAAATATTTCCATTCTCAAAGCTAACCGCCAAAACAAACTTTCTTTCAGCTAAAAACAAATTAATAATAACTCAAACCATAAAAATGATTCCTTCTTACCGGCATTTGTGACTCCTGGGTCATTATCATCTCCTTCTTCCATTTTAAATTTTTCGCAAGACCACGCCATGTGGCTAATGCCGACATCGGCAATTAATTGGACTTGGGAAACCATGGCGCCGTGTACGTCCATGACGATAATCTGACCGGATGTTGTCCCGAAATAAACTTGTTGATCGTCCGGCGTCCAAATGCCACAGGTGATGGTTGATTGAAGGCTTAACATGGAAGACCAATATCTTTGCCCCGCAACCGATCCAACAAGAACAAATCCATCCTGATAACAAATCAGCGCCATTCGCCCATCGTGCGACCATGAAAAATGGGTAACTAAAGTACTTCGATCGTTGATTAGCTCTATAGACCATCTTCCTTCGTATTTTATCCAAACGAAAATGATACCGGAACTATCACAAGAGGCTAATTTTTGGTATGGTTCGTTCCATTTTACCATTATCACCTTTAAAAAAAATTATGATATAAAAAGATAGCGTGTAGAATGTTTCTAGTTCTAAATCTAGGGTTAGTCCTAGTTACAGTGCTAGTGCAAAACTAAAACTAACACTAGGCCTAGAACCAGAAATATTCGGGTTTAGCCGCACACCTCTCAAGACGACTAATGAATGATTCTAGTTCTAGGACTAACACTAGACCTAGTGATGGTGATAATGTAAAAGTAGAACTAACACTAGACCTAAAACTAGAGATATTAGGGTTTAGCTATCTTGAGAGACGTGCGGTTAAATCCGAATGTTTCTAGTTCTAGGTCTAGTCAATAAAAATATACAACATAATAATATCTTATGTTAACTAGCGCTACTTATCACTGCCACTAGACCGAGAACTAGAAACATTCGGATTCAGCCGCACGTCTCTCAAGACGGCTAAACCCGAATGATTTTAGTTCTAGGTCTTGTGTTAGTTTTAATGACAGTGTTAGTGCAAAACTAGAATTAACACTAAACTTAGAACTAGAATCATTCGGATTTAGCCGTCTTAAGAAACGTGCGACTAAACCCAAATGATTCTAGTTCTAGGTATAATGTTACTCCTAGTGACTGTGCTAATGCAAAACTAGAACTAACACTAAACCTAGAACTGGAGACATTCGGGTTTAGTCTCTATAGACAGCTAAAAAGAATACAGTGTAATAAACGACTCTACAAACAAATTTTTGTTCGTTATCCTAAAGTTTATTTTATGATTTTCTGGTTAATGGAACAAAAACGAAAAGAAAATACCTTTTTTTGATATAAACTTTGCTTTTGTAATTGTTATAGTACTAATACTCATTTTTGAATTTTTTATCAATTTTAATTATCACAACAGAAAAGACACTTGTATATACAGGCTGTCTTTTCTCTGCTAAAATTACATTCAAAATGAATGTATTGTACATCAATGGATTCAGAAAAATAATCTCTATCTAACGGAAGAAAATTGAAGATGGCCTTGGAAAAAATTGATTTGTAGCATGAATCATAGTATTCATCAAATCATTTCATTTGATACCTAGCTCATGAAAATCGGAATGTAAATGACAGAGTTACGGCTTGGGGCGTTTTTTATCTGACACCCTGTATGTGGGCAATTTATTAAAGTTCGAGATGTAAAATATGAACTAAATACATCTCACGTTCTTTGTGAACCCTACGAAACATATTTTCACTGTCCTGTTCGGAATCAAGACAAGACAAGGGCTCCACATGTTGCTTATAGTTATTGTAAAAGATGCTTGGAAGGTAAGCAAATTTTAATTAAATGGTGAATTAAATACAATAGACATATTAATTTCTATTTCTATATTTTAGGTTGGTATCGAGGTGAAAAAAGGTCTATGTAATTTGCAATACCAAAAATCTGGCGAGAACCAAAAGACCACGTAAACGACTGCTACTTTTGCATTGTGAATCCGAGTAAAAGACGTAGAGTCCAGTAGCACACGATCTGACACGACCAGTACCTGAGCCACCACAGAAAAGTAGCTCATTTCTTAGTTTTCATAGAGGTAATTCCGATAAGGAGTTTTTACCGACACCAGAACAACCAAAACATCATTTCATCACTACAGAAGATTTGAATGATTTGATTAGAGATTTAAATTTGCCAAAAAGTAAAGCAGAGCTTTTGGGTTCTCGCTTAAAGCAGTGGAATTTGCTTGATGATGTTAATATCACGGATCAGCGGACTAGGCATGAAACATTCTCAACATTTTTCACAAAAGAAGATGGACTTTGTCTTGGCAAGGACATAAAAGGTATGTTCGAAGAAATTGGCATAGCTTGTGTTCCTAGCGAATGGCTGTTATTCATTGACAGCTCTACAAAAAGCTTAAAATCTGTTTTATTACACAACGGAAATAAATTCGCATCTCTTCCAATCGCTCACTCAGTACATCTTAAAGAAAATTATGAAAGTGTAAAAATTTTGCTTGAACGTGTAAATTATCGCGAGTATAACTGGCAACTGATTGGAGATTTTAAAATGGTGAGATTTTTGATGGGACTTCAAAGCAGATATACAAAGTATCCGCGTTATTTGTGCTTATGGGATAGCAGAGCGGATACTAAGCATTATACTCAACGGTCATGGCCTGTAAGAATAGAACTTTGTGCCGGAAAAGAAAACGTAAAATTTGAGCCAATTGTTGAAGCGGAAAAAGTGTTAATGCCGCCTCTGCACATTAAGTTAGGGTTGATAAAACAATTTGTTAAAAAACTGGATCAAACCTCAAAAGCTTTTGAATACTTAAGAAAATTTTTTCCAAAGTTATCAGAAGCAAAGGTTAAAGCTGGGGTTTTTGTTGGTCCGCAAATCAGACAGATTTTCGCCGATGAAAAATGTCCAACGTTGTTGAATCGTACTAAAAAAGTAGTTGGAACAGTTTTAAAGCAGTTGTTTCTGGATTTTTAGCAAATAACAAAGCTAAAAACTACCAAAAACTAGTTGAAAATATGCTAACAAATTTTGAGGCCATGGGCTGCAGGATGTCATTAAAAGTACATATACTGCATGCTCATTTTATTATGGGAGCGTATTCAGAAGAAGGACGAAGGAGAACGTTTTCACCAGGACATTATGAGCTTCGAACAACGTTATCAAGGCCAATACAATGAAAACATAATGGGAGACTATATTTGGGGTTTATTGATGGCATCTATGAACATAAAAGAAAAAGTAGAAGTGTGCACTTTGAAATTATTATCAATTATTATAATCTAGTAACCTATGTGATCTGGAGCAACTAGTTGATGAATCCAAAAAAAATATTTTTAACTGGTTTTCTGAGAATCGTCTTAGTGTGAATGAACACAAAACTCAGTCCCTAATTTTCTCATTGAGGACGCAAACTTTAAATGGCAATAGCTCAGTTAAATATCTCGGAATTCACCTTGATGCCAAACTTACGTGGGAAGACCATGTTCTTCATTTGATTAGAAGGTTAAATACCAGTATTTATTTGATTCATAGCTTAGTGAGAGTGGTATCGTTGAAGATGGCACTTTCTGTTTATTTTGAAAATTTTTATTCTCATACAACGTACGGCATTTTGTGTTGGGGGCATTCTGCTCACGCTGCGCTTGTCTTTCGTAGTGTTCTGGCAAGCATGGGTTTCGCGGAGTGTCCAATTTTTACATAAAAATGG